CAGGTCCAGCACGTTCAGCCGATATAGCTCAGGGAGTCCTCTGATGAAATCCACCAGCTCGTCCATGGGATCCTTGGCGGTGTCATCCTCCGACGCACGATGGTCGTCGAGTAGCCATGTGCAGCCGCCGCCGCAGCAGCGGAGGTTGCAGCGGGGAACCAACATCGGCGGCGGCGGCGGCGGTGGCATGGAGGCACGACGTTGAACTATGCTTCGGATCTTGAGCTGGCGATCCAGGTGGACCGGCAGCTCAGCGACGAAGTTCTCGCTCTTGGTGATGCCGTCGATGAAGTCGCGGACTGGGTCATCCATGACACAGCTCTTGACCGTGCCGGCATCGCTCCAGCGAGCAGCACGAATGAAGCCTCGGAGGAGAAGCTCACGGAAGCAGCGCTCGCCTGCTTCTTCTGGAGTAGTAGTGGTCCTCCCTCCTCCTGGCTCTTTGCCTACAAGCCCTTCGGCGACCCAGCGCCTGACCATGCTTGTCCTGCTGATCTCCTTCTCGTGGAGGAACGCGGTCAGGTACTGTAGGCAGCTCTTCTGCTGGGTGGTCAGTATGCTGTAGCAGAAGATCATGACTTGTTTCCTGGCCTCTTGTGCTCCTACTACTCCAGGTCCATGTGCCTCCACTCCCACCTTGTCCTTGAGCTCCTTCAGCTCTTGCTCAGTCACTCCCACCACCTTGTCCTTGAGCTTCTTCAGCTCTTGACTGGTCGGGTAAGGGTAGACATACATAGCACAAAGAAACATCTTCCTGGTGCATCTGAATGCCGCTGCTTCACGAGGATCAATATCAAGTTCAGCTTTAGCATTAGCTTCAGCTTCAGCTTCTGCTAGGACGCCACCAGCACCACGTGGATGGTCCGGAGGACAGCATTTCTTGAGAATAGCACGCATCATGGCAGCTTCAGATGGTCCTCTTACGTCCTCAAGCAGCAGGGCATCAAGCGGGTCCGGGTCCGGTGCAGAGGCAGGGGCCGGGGCCCGGGCATGCTGGGCCGTGGGCCGAAACCAGCCAGGGGTGCCGACGACGTCTTTCTCCAGCGCGTGTACAAAAGCCTCCCTCTTCTCCTCCTCTTGGTCAGGCAGCTTGTTCTGCACCATCTTGAGATCACGGCCAGTCGGGACGTTGACGTCGTAGCGCTGCCGCCTCTCGCCGACGTCGTGCACGCGGGCCTTGAGCTCGGCGATCTGCTTGCCGAGCTTGTGGAGCTGGAGATACGCCTTGGGGTGCGCGAGGACGAAGGCCAGGGTGCCCGCGCACCCTCCGCGGCCCCAGCCCTCTCCGTAGCTACCCAAGACGCGCCTGTAGCGGTCGACACAGTCCTCGGCGACGTAGGAGACCTCGCGCACCTGCTTCATCCAGGCGCGGACCTGGTCGTCGTGCTCGCTCTCCATCTTGTTCAGGTGCAGCAGGAAGCCGTTCATGCTGTCCATCTCGTCCTTGATGAACTTCATGTCGCTGTGGACGCCGCCGATCAGCCGCGCCTCGTCCTGGATCGCCGTCGTCAGCACGCCCAGCAGCGCGTCAATGGCGCTTTGGGTCAGGGCCGCCATTGTTAATTACAGTATCGATCTGTCGGCTCGGCTCGGTCCTCGGTCCTCACTGATCTGATCTCTCTCTCTCTCTCTCTCTCTCTCTTTTCCTGGCCGATCAATGTCGATCAGCAAATGGTGGGTGGGTGGGTTGAAGAACGATGGAATGGAAGCCCTGTCCGAGCTGCCTGCATGCTGTTGCTGCGCCGGATTTATTATATATACAAATTAAATGAAAATTTAAATGTAGAGGTCTTTCATACGCATCCCCAAATCCCAATCCCAATGAGGAAGGAAAACCTAGCGGGAGGACAAAGAGTCAAATGCGTTCTTTCTTGATGTGGCAAGGAATTGAACAGCGAAGTGAATCTTTTGGTTGCCCTATCCTATTCTTTTGGCAAGGCACGGACAGCGAATTGAATCTGTGCTTGCCTTCTTGTTTGGTTTTGCTCCTGTCATCTTCTGTTTCGTTTCATCGTTGATGCTTCTGGAGTAGTTCCAGCTCGCCGTTTCAGCTAATGTCTATGTACTTGTTGCTACCCTTAGCTTTTACCAGCAGTAATTACACTACAGTTCTAATTCTTCAAAAATAACTGTTTCAACATGATTAAGAGAGCAAACGCTAATGCTCTGGTTCGGACGCCCCGTTCCCAGACCTGGTGCAGCGATCGGCCCAACAAGACGACGGGCCTGCTCCCCTCCATCGCTATCCAGCGAACTTTTTCTAAAAAAGAAAGAAAGAAATTCCCCATTCGCTGGCGTGCGGCTTCACCGCGCCGTCCTCTCTGCCGCGCCGCCGCAAGATTCGCGGCGCCTTCCTCCTAATCCATGCCGCGCTAGCCGGAGGTGCTGTCATCCTGCTCGCCAGGGGTGCTCGCGGCCTCACGTAGACGCAGGTGGTGCTCGCCACTCCGCTGGCTCTCAGGCGAGTTGCATGCGTCGCCACCAACCTTCGTGCCGGCGTTGAGCTCCACAACGACGAGCTCCATTCGTCCAAGCAGCAATATGACATTGCGCTGAAAACACATGTTGCAAGCGTATGTTTCAAGTGTTTTAAATATATGTTGTAAGTGTTTCATATGGATATTACAAAAGTAGATCAAGATATTACATATGTTGTAATGGTTGTACACGTATGTTGCAAACGTCTCTTCCCAATTTTTCATCTGTTTTATCAGATGTATGTTGCAAGTGTGTTTGTCTACATGTTGCATATGTTTCCATACATATGTTGCAGGTGTTGTATCTGGATGTTGCGTATATGTTACAATATTTTTAAGTGTTTCATGTGTTTTTTTGCAAGTGTTTCAGACGCATATTTCAAGCGTTTCATCTGTCTTTAGACTTATGTTGCAAATGTTTGTATCTGGATGTTTCAAAAGTAGATCGGGTTTTGCATCTCCCTTCTCGCCTTCTGCTGCATCACCTTGGTGTCTCCTCCTCGCCTTCTGCTGCCTTACATTTTTCTCAGCCTGCGGAGGGGGTGCGGCGGGGGCGGTGGAGGGGGCGCAGACGCGAGCACACGCTCTCCCCTTCTGTTACGCGGGCAGACAACGCTTCGGTCCCTTTAGTTTTTCTATTACGCAGGATGCTGAGATGGGATGGTCCTATTGGTGGACCGCGACGACAACCATGGTTCGGTTGGCGGGCGCTACTGCCTCAGGAGAACATAATGTAACTCGCCAATTTTGAAGAAAAAACAATTACCACGTCCTGCTTATCTACTTCCATCCACCACCAACCAAACAATAAAACCAGACCATCCTATCCAATATAGTTATCTATGTATCAAACTAAAAAAAAACTAGCTTTTTTTTGGAAAACTAAAAAAAAAGCTCATCGGTAACTTGTTCTTTTTTTTTTGAGCAAACTTGTTCCTTGTGGTGGTCTTGTGTCCAGCCGGGGTTTGAGTCCTTGTGGTGGTCTTGTGTCCAGCCGGGGTTTGAGTCTTTGGCCCAGGACGGGTCGAGGGGGGAAGAGAAGTTCCCCACGTCAGGTTTGAATTAAGCCCAGGTTAGTTCAAATATGTTATTAATTTTTTTAGCATCTTAACGACTTCAAATGAAAAAGCAAACTAGAAAGTTATAGATCTCGTCGAGATCTATAATTTTCATATTTTTTTTCATTTAATTCCGCAAAAAAAATAATATGATTTTTCTAAGATATATTAATCATATCAAATCATTTTTTTTTTGAATTAAATGTTATACAACAATAAAATTTAGATCTACAACTTTCTAATTTTGAGTTTTTTCATTTGAAGTCATTGGTATTCATATACAAATTTGCTGACCGATAGGCCTGGCCCGCATTGTGATTCTTACAGAATTGTTATACAACAAGAAAGGCCTGTTGGTATTCATATACAAATTTGCTGACCGATAGGCCTGTTGGTATTCTTGTTGACGATAAGCATTTATCAGTGTTCTTGTTGCTGATAGGCCTCTATTATTATTAGCAATTATATAGGGAGTTATAAATTTGTAGAAGCATGACGGATTTGAGTTCTTGTATTAGTGATTTTTTTTTAAAGATGGGCAATGGCGATAGGGAAAAATCAAGAAAAATATTTCATTTACAGTATCCACATCCAAAAAGGTTGAGGGCTCATTCGGTTACTCTGGATTACGTTTCAGGAATGATTCCCAGTTAGAATGCTTCACTAATTTGTATAGTATTGATAAACCGAAATAGTTCCTAGGTCTAATCCACACCAACAGAACGGGGCCTGAAGGCTTTCTGAAGTTGATGAAATGCTCCATGTTGTTAGTTCCCTTAATTCTTTGCATGGTGGTACTGGAAATAAATAATTGCATACACATGTGAGAATCTTGGATATTTCAAATGTGAGAATCAGTCGATCCTCCACACCCACACGCCCCTGATCTATTCGGATGTTTAGTGCGGCATATATAGCTTCACAAATGGAGATCTCAGTCACAGGTTGCAACAGCAGAATCAAGCAAGAACGGAATAAACTTCTCTTTCTAGCATCATATAGTACTCACTCGCCCACTCTCGCTATTTCAACTTCCATTGTCATTTCATATCAATTTCCCATAATATATATGCTTGCCTTAGTAATGAGTTACTGTGCAAGCTTAGCATTTGCAGGGCGAGACAGACAGTAGAATCATGTAACCAACCCAATGAGCTATATATAAGAGTTAATCGTCCATCATCTACTCCAGTTATCTACCTTGACTAAAGTAAACCTGCATGATCAAAGCTTCACAAAACCCTCCGAAGATGCAGCTGCCATCACAAGAAAGAAGAAATCACCATCGTCCAACGAGCATTTGATGATTGACACGCCAAGTGATATGTGATGTCCAACGAGCATTTGATCATCACCTCACCCTCACTCACCAATCACCTCTTGCTGTTCATTTGGACACCCACCTCTCACAATGCATTCCTGTCAGTGGTAGTCTCTGTCCTGCATTGCAACTCCCATCCACCTGTCAGGCTCCGGCGACCGTCGCAGGGCGAGCGCTCGTGGCGGCGATCAGCAAGAGGGCGTCGGCCGCGTCGCGCTCCCGGCTGCACCAGTAGTAGCCCTGCCTGCTGTCGCTCCCCACCTCACTTGGACCGCGACGGTGATGCAGCAGCGCCATGCCGAGCCCGCCCTCGCCGTGCTTGTCGAGGAGCGCCTGCCAGGCGGGCGGGCGGAAGGCGCGCACCTCGACGGCGTCGCCGGCGCGCGCGCCGTGGCGCGACACGAAGAGCGACCACTGCCCCGTGACGCGGTACGTGCGGGCACTGGGGTCGCGCCGCAGCGACATGCGGTACGCGCGGCCGAGGCGGTCGAGCGCCGGCACGGGCAGCCCGACGCCCAGCACCAGGCCCCGCTCCGCCGCCGTCAGCATGCGCGGCAGCGGCGACGGCGCCACCAGGCGGTCCGGGAGCACGAGGCGCGCCTTGTCGCGGCTGCGGTCCGACGGGGTCAGCTGCTTGGTGAGCACCACCGCCGGGCGCGAGATGCGGAGGCGGAGCAGCTCCGCGCGCAGCCCGTCCTCGCCCCGCTCCTCCTCCGCCGCCGCGTCCCGACGCCCGCGCCCCGATCCCGTCCCCGTGGGCATGGGCGGCTCCGACGCGCCGAGAAGAAACCCTCCTCCTCCTCCGTGGTTGTTGCGGAAGTGGCTGGCCATCTCCTGGATCGCCGCGGCCGCCGCGTATGGGTGGTACCGCACGACCCTCTTCTTCGGCGGGAGGAGCTCCGGCGGGACGCCAGCGAGGTCGTCCACGCCGGGCACATCGCGCTCGCCGCGGGTCACCGGAACCCCGCGCCCGGGCGCCAGGTGCTCGACGAATTGCGGCCCTTTCGCCTCCCGCGTACCTCCTGGGGTGAGGAACGCGCGCGCTGGCGCCGCGGAGGCCGGGGCTCCGGCGAACGGAGGCGGGGGGCCGGGGCGGGGCGGCATCCGGAGGCTGCATGGTGGCGGCAATGGCGGGGGAAAGGAGGGGAAGGGTGGAGGGGAGAAGCCGGGAGGAAACGGCAGCGGGGGAGGGAGAGCGAAGTGTGGTGGTGGCCGGTGGGGCGGCGGCGGCGGTGGCGGGGGAAGAGATGGGGTTTTGCGTGGCGGCGAAGTTGGTGGGGGAGCAGGGGCCGGAGGGGGCCAGAGCATGGCAGATTCCAGAGTTGCCATTGGTCGCCCACTCGCTCTCGCCTTTGCCTTCCTTTGCCTTCCCTTTGTCTTCTCTGGTTATGTTTTCCTTCCTCTCATGGCATGGCTGCTGCCTTCCCGTATGAGCGAGGTCGGATGCAAGCAGTTACGCAAACCAGTGCATGTGATTCCTTGGCTTCTACACATAATGTTCCGACTGAATTATTACGTGCATTATACTTGCCATTCACTTTTCTAGGAAAATAGTCAAATTTAAGTCATTCTTGAAGAATTTTTATTAATGTTCCGACTGAATTAATGGAATGAACGTTCAGAACCAGAGCATTAATACATGCAGCATGTTCCGACTGAATTAATGGAATGAATGTTCAGAACCAGAGCATAGTGCGTGTTTATCCCACTTTTTTTTTTTGAAATGACATAGTTTCTAATTCTTCTGCAACAATTTGGGCTGCAGATGGAACGCCACGTCTTAAACTAATTTTAAGGAATATCAGCTGTCACAGCATTCTATTGCTGTTCCATTTTCCCTTCTCAGCATATTTTTCATAGAAATTCATGCCCATCAGACCTTCTATTATGCAGTATGGAAAGATATAAGGTTAGCACATACAGTGCTGTAAGTTGGGATTTTAAAACTACTTCTTTTTCAGTGACTTTGCTACTTGGTTCAGCTCAAACTTCAATTTGTGCTCAGTACGAAGGTACAGAATTCAAATTCAGTTTAATAGTGCTCTAATGATGATGAAAAAAATTGACTAGACCAAGGTATATGAACATGAACGCAGCTTCCTATTTTTTCCATGTTACTATCTGGTTCGCATTTCAGCATAATGGTTAATGGCTGGATGTGCATCATAGGTCCTTATTTCTCAGCATGGACAAATCCCAACTGCACAGATGTGCAATACCTATCTGTTATTTCCTATTAATGTACCATCGCTTGTGTTCTACATTTCACGTATGCTAAATTGCTAATTATTGACATAATATTTTTTCCAAGATTCCAAGGATGTCATTTGATCTTCTAATCATGTCTGGTGAAATTGTAGGTTCAGAGGTGGATAACAAGGGTCGCTACAGAGGGCAAGGTGTTGTGTTTGTCAGATCGGACAATGTCATATTGTTGCATGAATGCCTTCTGTTGAACGGCTCCTGTGGTATTCAATGGTCTCACCTGCCGAATTTTATGCCAAAATATTTCATAGATTCTAATGTTGTTTAGTATGTCTGCCTCTCAAGTTCACATAACTGGATTGAAGCTATATGAAACCTCGACAACTTGATAATAGATTATACTTTTACAATTCTGACCTTTCCTTGCTAGAGAAACATACTTTTAAATTTGCAGTGCGTAGTTACTTAGTTACTGCTCTATTTTTGGAGGTTTGCTTCACCACTTTCATTTCTAAATATATGAGTTCACATATACAGAACTTGCAATATCCATTTCACAGCTTGCAGCGCCAGTTGCTATTCCTAAAAAATCCCGGCCATGAGTGATTGCTGCAGTACTCATAGTTAGTCATAGCTTTCTACCTCCTCTCTTAATCTGTCTTCAATATATAATAATGAATGGGCATGGTGCATACTTCCTTAATTGCTGCTCTGTTTTCAGATGTTTCTTTAACTGCTTCCGTTTCTAGATATACGAGTTTGCATACATAGAACTTTCTCCGATATAATAATTGGATACATAGAACTTGCAGTATCATTTTATAGCTTGCAGCTTCAATCATCGTTGTTCCAACCCGTGAGGTGCAAGGTTCAGTACCAAGATGGCAACCAAAGCAACTTCCCCAATTCTCCAGGATGTGCAAAAAGCAGCTTCCCAGTTAGCTATAACACAATGCATACTACAGACTTGGTTTACAACTTTTATCGGTCATGTTGTATTGGCAGTTTCATCAGAATTTTCGCTTTCCAAGACATGTACACATATTGGCAAAAATTTCTAAGGGCCGTTGTCCACAAAATGGCCAAACACTGTGCATTTGCCATTACTGCTATGTGGACATCACAGATTTTATTGAATCTAATTATTTCATATATGCATAAACTGTAAAGATGTGCCAACGTCAAGATTGCATATGCCTGTATAAGACTTTCTCCATATCTAAATTTTTCCATGTAACTGTATATGCGCGATGGCACGCGCCCTACACTAGTTCTCTCTTCACTTGCACGCAGCACGCGAGCCTGCCACTAATAAACTTTCACACAACAAAAACAAAAAATAGTATAGTTCTTTACAAAAAAAATTTACTCTTGTTGCTTCATTTCTCGAGTAACAAACAATTCAGCTAATTCTCCTAATAAAAAGATCAATTTCTCTGCTAATAAAAACAATTCAAATACATGATAATAATACCAATTCGTTAGCGGGCAGCTGTTTTTATTCGGTAAGATATTCTCAAGCATTCTTTCCATCCACCAAGGAGCTTGAAACCCAAGAGTTTTACTGCTTCCGCGCATCCAACAGTATTGCAACAATAATATAGACGGCCAAATAATTACTATATGCTCTTACCAGTACATGTTAGAGAACAATCCATGGTTTTGTTTCCAACAGGTGAAAGATTCACCTGCTTTCTTTATACATCGCAGTAATACTATTCTGATGCCTTGTACTTGCTCACCACCCTACTCGATTGAAGCAATTTTACATCAGCCCAACGCATACATTGCGGGTTGCAAGATACAGCAACGACGACCAAACGAGCCTATGTTATCCGTATGCTCAAGGCTGCATGCATCAAGCATGGTTAAACCCGAGTCAATACTCAATAATGCCTCCAGAACTTCACATAGCAGTGGCGCTTTCAGAGAGCTCCAGAAAACCGGGGCGACATTGGCGGCATTGCTTCTTCCTAGGCGTCAACCATTTCCAGGATCTTTCTTACGGTTGTCTGCAACTTTTCGTGACCAACTTCCAGTGCGGACTGACCAGCTGTTCCGTTTAGTTGGATGGCCTCGTTTTCGAGACCCATGTTTGATGACTTTATTTTCGACTGTGCTTTCACTGATGTTACTGCATTGGTAAAGACACCGGGTTCCTTGAGGCCACGGATGATAGCCTGCAAAGATTGGGCATAAAATGTAGCAACAATAAGAAACAACTTCCACGAGCTAAAAGTCTACAAGATTGAGATCAGGACTAACCATGGGCGCATATATACGTGTTAAGAGACCCTTCCTCAAAAGTTTCAAATTGGTGTCTTTATTAGTCCATACAACATGTTCCCGGTACCTAAACAAAGGTAGTCAGACCAATGTGATCTCTCTTAATTCAGGCAGGATAGGGAGGAATGGTTGGTGCTTGGTACACAGAAGGCTAAGGGTGTTACCAGTTCTTCATCTCCTCCTCAGTCGTTGTTGATGCAATTATAAAGGCCTACCATGACAAGAGTAGAAGGGAGGATTCATTGGCTCTCCCAAGTTAGTTATCCAGTTAGCTACCTATGCACAATGATACCTTATAAGAGTCATATCAGTTTCCTTTTTTTTTTGGTAAAAAGACAGTTATATGGTTCTCTAGCATGGATGGCTATACATTGTACAATGGAGAATGGACCATGGGAAATATTTATGTGATTAGTATAAGACACACGAACAAGGTACAATATTATGCTTGTGCAATGCCCCACCACCCCTGTATCTGATTCAGACATAACTACATCCAATCATCCACTTTCGGTTAAAAAAAAGATATTACTTGTATATATTGTGTAAACTGAGATTGTTTCCACCCACGACAGTTTCCACAATCATTTCCATAGTATAATAAATCATCTAGCCATTTTTCTCCCCATCTCATTCTTTATATCATATCACTTAAATAAATCTTCAGTTTGTCTGCTTGGTTGTTCCTGTTTAGGGCTTCTCCATTTCTTTCATTCTTTTTTTAAAAAAAGAAAGTTTTTTTTATGGTAAGGAAACAAAGAAGGAAGTTAGTTACTACTTGCTTGCTTGCTTGCAAATCTGAAATCTCATCTCAACCGTTTGGACTGGTTGCTCCAACAGTACCTGTCAATCTGTCATGCACATGGCCTGAATCTTCAGTCTGTCTGCTTGGTTGTTCCTTTTTAGGACATCACCATTTATTTATTTTATTTACAAAAAGGAAGTTACCTAGGCCTTGTTTAGTTGGCTGAATTTGGCGTCGGATTCAGTAAAAAATACTATTTCGTTTGTATTTTAATAATTGTCCAATCGTTCGTTAACGAGGCTTAAAACGTTCGGCTCAAAAGTACAACCTAATGCAATTGGTTTTTGGTTGTTCCTTTTTAAGACATCACCATTTATTTATTTTTATTTACAAAAAGGAAGTTACCTACTTCTCTACTTATTTGCGTATTCTTCTGGTGCGATGTGATGTGTATGCTGGAGCAGCCGATGGAATTGCTTCCTGCTGCTTCCTTCCATCATGCCCAGTGCGCCAGTTTCTTCAGCACAAACTAGGTGTGCTGATGATAAGTTGAGCTGTTCACCACCAAGGAAAACCAAAAGCTGCTGCTAACATACAGTATTAATGTCCTTTCAGACCTTTCCTAGGTAATGTTAGCTGATACCATGTCATAAAGAGGCATGAAAGAAACATCATCTCTGATAATGAGAAGCTATATCTGAAGACTTAATTTATATTTATTGGTAGTCAGGGATTAGCTAGGTTATACCACTGATTAGCAGTTGAGTAGCGGCAGTGCAGCAATGATAAACCTAGATTAGCCACCATTTAGCCCAGACGAGGAGGGCAGGCATTATATAGTCTCCTGTTTGCAGCAGGGAGATACTCCATCCGTTTCTGAGTAAATCAACTTCTAAAGTTTCCTAAGGTAGGATTCCTTAAATATGATCAGTTCTATAAAAAAAGTACAAATAACATCTATGCCAACAAAAATGTATATATAATAGGAAAACATATTCCATGTTGTATCTAAGTATACTGAAATCGTGTTATACTTAAAGGACGAGAGTGCAGTAGATCGAGCATCCATGGTATATTCTTTCTGCTGATGGAATGGATTGGATGGACGTCTCTCCGACTAGCTCCCACTCTTGCTGGCTGCTGGCTTGACTGAGCTAGCCACCAACGCAGATCATCATTCAATTCAGACCAAGCTCACCTAGGTAGCTAGACTCCAACAGAGGAAAGGCGACAACATCATATAGATGATGATGATGATGAGCTATCAACTGCATGCTAGATTATATATACTCCTGTGTGCATGCTGCTGCGCAACAAAATTAAAGATAACACACTCCTCGTTTTTTCTCTCTTAGATTAGAAAACATGCAGTTAATTAAAAGGATCACAGATAAATCATAATAGAGTAAAATGCACATAAGGTCTATTAACTTTTTAGAGATGTCGTTTAGATCCATCAACTCTCAAACTATAGTTTTGGATCCTTAAACTTTTATCCATACCCCTTCTTTTATATTTGTATTTTGCAGAAAACTCCCTACGTTTCCTTTTCATCCGCACATTTACCCTTGCAGCCGCTCCAGCACATCGACGATGGCCATGCGTTGTGGCCTGTCCCACGGCTGCTGCGCCGTGCACTGCAACACCACCTTCATCACGGCGCGCGCCCTTCACCGAGTAGTGGCCCGCCAGCCTCTTGTCCATGATGGAGCGGATGTTGGAGACCTTGAAGTCCCTATAAGTACAGCAGTAGGAGGCGTCTATGGTCGTACAATGGAGGCGCTAACAGCTCATGAACGACTACGAATCAGGAGAGTAGTAGTAGCTAGCTAGTACCCGTGGCAAGTTGCTTGCGTCCTGAACTGATATCAGGGCAGCAGCATGCATCCCTGGCCCATGGCCATGGCCATGCATGTGCACACGTACGAACGACGTCGGTACTGCCACAGTGCCACGCTAGCTGGACATCATGCGCAAACGGCAAACGGCAAACGCAAGCGCACGCACCCTGTTCCCATGCACGCGTTCGATCAGAACGAGAGGTTTCGGGGCTTCACCGCGGCGAGCAGCGGCCGATCCATCACCACCGTGAACTCCATCTTGTCCTTGAAGTCCAGTGGCGGCTGCGACGGGTGCCCGCTCCACTCGAACGCCTGCACCATCTGCGCCACCATCAGGGCGATGTGCGTCGTCCCCATGGCATGGCAAGTCCGGGGCAGATTCTCCGCACGCCCCGTGCCGAGCTGGATCATCCGGATCCCCGCCGACCCCGTCATGTCCACCGTCTTGCCGCCGGACACGAACCTGTACGGGTCGAACTCCATTGGCCACACCCACAACTTCGGATCCTCGGAGATGGTCGGGAGGAAGATGTCCAGATTCGGCCACACGTCGTAACCGGCGAGCTTGCACGGGTGAGAGAGAAGTACGTGGCGGGTGCTTCTGGAGGAACTCCTTGACAAAGGCCTAGAGGATGGCGCGGCGCCTGTACGTTGATGAGCGGGAGCAGAGTGTCGATCTGCTCGCGGTGGACGGCCAGGGCATGGCGCTAGTGCTGCCAGAAGAATAGGCGAAGGAACGGGAGGTAGTCGTCATCCATGCGCACGCCGGCCGCGAGCCACACGCGCTTCGTGACAGCGTCGATGTGCACGATGTGCTCCTCGTGGAGGTCCAGCAGGCCGAAGGTCATGTCAAACAGGATGCTGAACAAGATGAAGCACACGTTCCGAAGCACCCAAATGGACACGGCTTGCGCTTAGAAGATAAAGACGGGTAAGCGTGTAAAAGAAAAAGAGATAGACGGAGGTTTCTCTAAAATACAAACATAAACGAAGGGTATGGACCTCTGGTGAACCAATTAAAAAGTTTAAGAGCCAAAAATATAGTTTAAGAATTGATAGACCTAGATGACACCCCCTCAAAAGTTAATGGACATCTGATGTATTTTACTCATCATAATATTATTTAGCTTCCAGGCCAGCATAGATCGACTAGAGCGCGATCGACAAGTAGAAATCATCAAAAAGGATCGGAGAAGATTCCGTCATGCTGTCCTGTCCTTTTCCAAAAACTAGGGTTTCGTTCTGAATCTGACCAATTTATAGCTGGAGCCCGGAGGAATCTAAGTGGTCGTTTGGCAGGGCTTCTGGAGCAGCTCCAGCTCCGGCTCCTGGTAAAGCCCTGCCAAACGCCTCCATACGGAAGGGCTCCGGCCAAAGAGCCAGGCGAAGCCGTCCCAGAAAATAAACTAGCCAGACGGAACTAGAAATTGTGGCTTCTGCGGCTCCTCTCCTTTTCTCTGCCCACGTGCACAGTCATGGTTGGCTGGAGGAGTATGATGTCTGAGCAAATGAAAAGGCAGTGGGCCATGACAATACAAATAGTGTGGTTTCGAAATTTTGAAAGCAATTTCTCCTAAACCGTGTATCAGTTTCTAAATCCGTTTTGACCATGATGTTATTTATAATTAATGGAATAACATAAGATCAAACACGATTATATTTTGATTTTTTATTAAAAAGTTAATATTTTTATTTAGAAATACAATTTTTCTTGAGTAAATTACACGAGGAATACAATAACTATATAGGTGGGTGCAAATTGCCCCAGCATCTTTGAATTTTCTTAATCTAGCACACAAACTTTCGTTTTGGTGCATGTACGAACCAAAAACCACAACTTGTACGTAGGTATCATCGGTGGACGCTGATCAGCTTGTATCTTTGGTGCATGTACAGTCAAATTGCCTTCAGGTCAGCCCGGCTCAGTAGTTAAACGTCAGCTCGAGTCGGCTAGCTCGGCATCATGACTTGTGGTTGGCTCTCTTGGACTCAAAGCCCGACTTTATATAGTGTGACAAAACGTAACTGAAAATACGGCTTATAAGTCAAACAAGCCCAAACGCGTTGGACTCAGAGCCCGACTTTATATAGCACGACTTAACAGAGAAGCCCATGATCTCCCCAAAACGAGGAGCACGAGCCTATACACAGCTCGCTCAACGGCACGACGGAACCGACGACGTCAAGATCAACACACGAAGTAGAGCACGTTGTCGCCGAAACGAGGCAGCGTTGCGGCTTGTCGCCGAGAACCCGGCGTTGCTCCATCGCAATACGGTCAGAACTTAGTGGAACAGCGCAAGGGGAAGAGGAAGGGGAGAGCGTGCTGGTAGAACAAGAGGCAGGGGAGGAACAAGGGGAGGAAGGAGGGTGCGTCGCAACGACGAGGATGCAAGAGGTTTCGAATTTTTGTTCTTTAGAAATGGAGAGCAGTCACATGTTGCACCTGAAGAACTGAACACTACTCAATTTGCTCCAGAAGAGAACATGGCTCAAGATGAGCCACTTCCAGGAGACTTAAAGCTTCACCTGTAGCAATCACATGTTTATATATCCTTAGTTGTTAATTTCAGTTAAAAATTATATTACATCATTTGAACATTATAATTCACATTTCAGATTTGAGTCAAAAATTCCATGCAGCAGTAAAACAAAGCAGGTGCATTTCAAACTTTCAGTATAGTTGAGTCTTGTAGAACTTGTTGAAACTAATGAAGAGTAGTCTGAAATATCAACATCCCTCTCGCTTCTTGTACTGAATCACTTGATAGACAAAAGCTATGCTGCGAGCTGCATGAGCCGTATACGTGACAATACAAGAACGATTGTAGTGTAAACTGACAAGCACACAAGAGATTGGTTTTTGGACCGTCTATGCACCAAGATGACAAGTTCTTATTCCCTATAGAGTAGATTAAAAGTTGTGGGAGTAATTTGCACCCATGCGTATAGTTCTTGTACTCCGGATGCAATTTACTCTTTTTTCTTTTGCTTGAAATATTTTTCTTTATTCTCATGACACATTTTGTGCTAACTCTTCCACGTAAACGTCGTGCAAAATAGCCTTTTTAATATCGACCATCAAAGAAACCAAAACATGATGAGCCATTTTGCCAAACAGTTTTTCAGAACGGCTTCTGCTCCTTCAGAGGAGCCAGAGCCAAAGCCGTTTTCAGATGAGTCAGAAGCCTACCAAACAGGCCCAAAATTCATGCTTGGCGCTCGTGCAATGGATCATGCATATTGGTCCGGTCGTGCATATCACCGTCCGTGATGACGGGACGACCTACTATACCCAGCAGATTCCCTTACCGTGACCGTGAAGAATCATCTCACCGTTTATATGCACAGGGTCTGTTTGAATCTCATAAACTAATTGTACTGTAGCTGCTAAGATTAGCTCAGGTGTATCCAAACATCTTAGCTAATTTAGTCCACCAATGGCACAAAATAAATTATTTAGCTACTGAAAGAAATTATCAACTAGCACTATTTAGCTAACACAAGCTATTAGCTGGAAATTGTTGCTTAGAGTTTGATAAGTTTGTGGTGACAGCAGCAACAAAGCACATATATATTGTTCAGCTGGAACTACCGCTAATAACTAGCAGCTAGCATGCATACAGCTATACTAAAGTACATGACATGTGATTTGTCGCATCTCCAAGTACATACGTGTACGTAACACCATGCATATACGCTGCAGCGACAGGAAGCCAAGAAAAAACAAGAAGGTGAAGAACACACACGCACAGAGCGATTAATATATGAAATTAATTACACGCGTTGTCGTAAGAGACGCGACGTTGATTGATACCATCTTCAATGCTGAAAAGGAGATGATGCACCTACATCTCGCATTCAGAGATGCCATGCACTGCAACTTGGCTGCTGCGTACTCCCTCTTCCCAGTTTAATTGTCGTTTCCGGTTTTCGTGCCACTTTATTTGTAGAAAATACTAGCAACATTTGTATCTCCAAATAAATTTATTAAAAAACTAGATTCAAAGATCTTTCCGATGATATTAATTATATACCATAAATAATAATATTTTTTAATATATATTTTGTTAAAGTTGTTTCTCGGGAAACGAGAACGACAGATATTCTGGGACGGAGGGAGTATGCAGCATGCATATGCACTGCATGCCACAAGAACAAAGATATTTCTTTTTTCTTCAATGCTTTTGAAAAAGGAGATGATGCAGGACATACACCTACATCTCTCATTCAGAACCGCCATGCGCTGAAAACCGCTTGGGGGCAAAAATGGCGATTTTAAAAAGTTCATGCAAATCAGCATGCATCTGCACTGCATGCCACAAGAGCAAAGGCGGTGGAGTAGACTTTTTCCTTTTCTTTTTCACATCTCATCTCAAACTCAAACTACGAGTACATGAACATGAGTCAAGTATTTATACCTGGTTAAGTTTCACCATAAGAAATCTAGCCAGCTACGCTAAATATATTTGATTGGGGCCATCCCGTATAATTCGGCAAATGTTTCTCAAATAGGATGATACGTACTACCTCTATGCAAAAAGAATGCAATTCTAGATCTATAGTCAAAGTCAAAATAATTTATTATTAGGTTTGTCTAAGTATATAGAAAATAGTATTAACATATATATAACTCCAAATTTATATACTATGAAACGAATATTATGATACTTATAGTAAATATTTTTATATAGTTAAATTTCATCAAATTTCACATTGTCTGGCATAGCACCGAGTGTATGCGAGCGTCTGCGTCTGTAACTGGGTCTTGTAAAAAGTTTGTCTTCTTAGTAAAAATTTCTCTTAAGGCCTTGTTTGGATGCGTGTGTATTCACTCCCATCCACGTATGTTTGAAATGTAATGGAATGAAATTTAGTTTAATTTCACTCTAATCCACTTCAACTCATGTGGATTGAGATGAATATATACGCATCCAAACAAGGCCTAAGTTGGATGATTACATCCTAGATGAGTTGGTTGTGACCCGTAAGCGCATATATTTCTGTTAATTTAATTTGCTATATCCGAAATTCCGAAGTGAATTGAAATACAAGAAAAGTGGCTGGGTATGTACATATGACTGAGGCAGTGGCGGATGCAGGATGGGAACAAAGATAGAAGGCTAAATAATGAAGATTTTAGGATAGGGCTAGAGATTAATAATAATTTAAAGCTAAATAACCATGGTCCGAAGAAAAAACCGGACTCACGATTTGCAAGCTCCTGGACTGAGGCCCTGTTTATGGTTTTGAGTACTGTAAGCATAATTTTAAAAAGAAATCGGACTCACGATTTGGCTGTATAATTAGTTTTTTTTATCTACATTTAGTACTCCATGTATGTGTCGTAAGATTCGATGTGATGAATACTACGCAAAAAATTTTAGCTTTTGAATAGAACTAAACAGGCCCTGAGATTGAGCGGCTAGCAACTCCTTTTTGATCACGAGAGAAGCTTATGTTTATTTATATATAGCATGTTACGTGTGGACCTAGACTAGGCTTGCGATGCGACAGCGACCCTCAGCCCATGGTATTGGTCTTGGGTAAAGGTATCTGTAATGTGAAATTACTGATCTGTCCAGCCTTACCGGACCTACCTAAACCAGCAAGCAAAATATCTAGTCTAGGAGTAGTATCAAATAATAACTAGGCTTATCAGTCAATCAATCACTTTTCTTTGTGAATCTTTTCTTTTCTTTTCTTTATGCTAATCATATAAGAGATTTCATATAAGAGATTTTTCTCACGGAAAATCAAGGCAAACCAAAGACCAAAGACCAACCAAATGAACAGACCCATTGACCAATGACGATGCTAGCCTCTGAATAATATATATATATATATATATATATATATATATATATATATATATATATTTCTATCTAGTATCTAATCATCATCTATCCTTGTTATACTTTTTTATTTTTATATATAAATTAAATGAAAAATGAAAAATATAAAAGTATGTGTGTGTGTGGAGGGAGTCATGATCGACAAGGGAAGTTTGGTTTAGCTTGAGACTGAGAGGATTGTGATCACGTCGTTTTCCCTGAGGGCCACGTACTACTGATTGATCTTGCCTGCCCACCAGCCTGCGGCTGAATGCTGACTGCGCCGTGTTGCATGCACATCCATCGGTTATCAGTATGTAGCTATCCAGCGATCGATCCTTGCTTCGTTCCAAGTTAATCTCGTGCTTATCCGTCTTACATCATGTCATGGATGGCGAAAAAGATGCATGTCAACATGTGTATGAAAAGAAGGTCATTATGTCAGAGTTGATATCCATCTTGATCCATGTGGGTTGGAGTAGATTATTGGAAATGAAAAAATAGTTCCACTTCAACACACGTGCATTAAACTAGATACGAGTAAACTACAGGTGGCCACGTCCTACAACAAAAAAATCTAACCAGACATACCGAGCTTTTGTCCTCGAAAGCGGTCGACAAAGTGTGGATCACTCCGTATGTAGATCGTCTTTTACAAATAATCTTAGAGTTGATTCTATCCTACCACAGTATATGATAACAAAACATGTTTATTAGTTATTTTCTAAAATTTCTATAGTTCTATTACTGCGATTGAAAATAGCTTAGATACCATCATATGGTAGTAAACAGGCTGGAACAACGTAACCAAGAAGCAAGCAAAAAGTATATATATATACACAAGAGTTGTCTTCTTAAATACGTCCATCCATCATATCAACAAACATATCAATATAAATAAATAATTACACATTTGTAATAATCGCCCCCAAATCAAAAAAAAAAAAAAAAAAAAACCCACATTACAAATGTACACGCGGCGCAGCAAGGTCCATCCATCGAGGTGACAGTAGAGAAAGAATAACAAATTAATGTTCATGCATGCCCAGTGTGTGTCTGAAGTCTGATGACTGACTTAATCACTTAATTTTAACTCGATCTGTGCAGCTACGTGGTTGACAAGCAGTGATCCAGTAACTTAATCTCACGGTAATTTAATTTAATTTACCAGCAGCAAGCAGGGAGTGAGAGCTAGCTTTGCATGCTCCGTTGATAGGATCGGATCACTTCTCGGCAGCAGCAGCTGGTGGCGCCGCCTCCTCGGCAGCCGGCTTCGCTTCCTCCTCTTTCTTCTCCTCCTCTTCCGCCGGCTCCGACGGTGTCTCTGCCGGCGCCGGCGCCGCCTCCTCCGTCGCTGCAGCGGCGGCGGCCGGCTCGGCCTCCTCCTTCTTCTCCTCCACGGCGACTTCCCGGGAGGTGGCCTCAGCCGCCGCCGGCTCCTCCTTGGGCTCCTCGGGGATGAACGGTGCAACCTTGTCCAAGATGAAGGTGATCGCCGGGGACAGGGGCGTGGTGCCGGACTTGGCCACCGCCTCGCTCACCACCTTGGCTCCAGGGAAGTCTGCATAAAGATAAATAAACAGTTGAGGACTAAATTGGAATTTCATTTCGGTTTTGTTGTTTTGTGTTGGGCTTCTTCTCCTGGAAGAAACATGGTAGTACACAGGAAAACAAAGAAAAGGAGATAAAGTTGAGCCTCTCCAAAAAACACATAGTAAAGGGTACTCATCAAGAAACAAACCCCAAGAAAGCGACTGCTCCACAAGATTGCTAGAAGGAACTAAAAAAGACGCGGTTGGTGGTGTGGTTCTAGTTCATAAACAAAACAATCAGTATTCTGACAAATATATGTTTACACTTAATTTTCAACGGGGTGAAAAAAACTGCTTTGATGTTCTGATAGGATGAAGTGACACTGTTTTTTAAGAAAAATAGAAAATTATGAATTTTAATGTTACTACTTACGAGGAGGCTAATATGGTCTTTTATGTGAACTTCAGTTTGAGGTGATGCAACTGAAATCCTAGAATGGCAAATACTAGCAGCCTGTTCGGGCCGGCTGGGCTTATTCCTTGTAAACGATCGTAAATTTTCAGCCGGAACAGTATTTTTCTCTCACACCAAACCAGTCAGCAGTACTTCTTCACGATCCAGCAACAAACAAGCCCAACCAAACGAAAAGGAACCAAAGGAAACGTACTGTGGTAATTAACTTCAGTTACTGCCTTTTTTTCCTGAAGTACTCCTATCATGCATGGAAACTACATACAGAGACAAGAAATATCTGAGGTTTTCATGCTTACCAATCTTAGCCAGCTCGTCGAGGAACTTGGTAACTGCAGCCGAGTTCTTCTTGGTGATCTTGACTGGCTTCTTATCCTTGAACAGAGCCTATTATTCAGCAGGTACAATCATCAGTAGCAGTAGGGCCCGGCCATAATATAGTTACTTAAGTCTAAAGCAGCCCAATCAAATAAAATAAATAAATAAATACTGAAAAAGGGGACACTAGCTAGTTGATAATCAATTACCTTAACCTCAGGAGGAGATGCTTCATAAGTCTCGACAACCTTGGGCTCCAGTTCTGTCTTCTTGTCCTCGATCTCCTTGCCAATCTCCTCCTGCAGATTATATATATATTAGTTAACACAAATAAGAAAGGTTTGATTACAAACATATATAGAAAAAAAAATATACAGAGGAAGTCAAGTGATCGTCTGATCGACAGGCTTGTAGCGGTACGTATCATCTGAACTAGCTCTGAAGATAGGTTAGATACCTTGTTGAAGGACTTCAAGAAGCCTACAGCTGCAGCCTTCTTGCCATCCTTGTCAAAGATCTTGTTGAGGCCAGGCAGAACCTTGGTCTTCCACACACTGGTCATCTCTCTTCCTTGTTCAGTGTATATATCAACCTCTGCTCCGGCCAACACAGAAGCAAAATAAAAGCATCAGAAATGTTCATGCGTGCAAGAAGATGATGAAAAAAAAACCAGCAGCAGGGTGATGATTGATGAATGAACAAGCAAGAAATCAGCTGGAAGAAACCAAACAAGGATGAATACATACATGCAGGAAGGAAGGAGAGATAGGAGGTGGCTGCTGCTGCAGCTGTGCGTTTGTGAGGTGTGATGTGGAGCTGTGATCACCAGGCAGCCTATGAATGGGCAGCAGTACAGGAGGCACGGTGCCATCAGAGTGATTATAATGAATGGGCTGGCAAGAAAGCCACCCTGGGTAGCAGCAAAATGACGGCGATGCCCCCACGGCAAGGTGACCTGGCTGGCTGGCTCTGTGGATGAGCCAGGGGTACAACTGCCAAAAGGAAAGAAGACTATGGAAGGCATGTCATTAAGCCAGCAAGAGCCCAGAACGAGCTGGGATGATGAGGAGGAACATGGGAAGAGAAGAGGAGAGGAGAGGTGGCTTGCAAGCTGCAAGCTGCGCTGCGCTGGAGTAGGGACACGGAAGTGGTAGTTAGCTAGGATCCTTTGTGTGCTCTCGTCCCGTGGTCCGGTTAACTAATCAACCGTCCTATCAACAACGTTGTCTTATGCCACGAGTTAAACTAGTTTTACTGATACGCAAAAAATATCACAATATTCCTACGACTCAACATGGAAGGAGCACAGTAAAATTTAGGGTTATGGCAGTATGGGCCGTGCAAGTGTTACGTGGGCACCCTCCTGCAGGTTGTCATTTCACCCCTCAGATGGTAAAGATTATATATTTATACTTTGGTTTTAAAAAAACTTGAATGACTTGGGGTAAGAAGCCTCCTCCTGCTGACCGCGTAGGTGTTATGTGGAATCCCTCCCGTAGGTTATCACTTCACCTTTAAATGGTAAAGATGATGCATCTATCTATTCTTGGTTTTCAAGAAAACATTTGAATAAATTAGGTAGAAAGCCTCCGTACGTTGACCGTGCAGGCATTATATAGGTGTCTTTCCGTAGGTCATCACTTCATCCTCGCTAGCAAAGCTTATGAATATATACTTTGACTTTAAAAATCCTTAAATGGAACTTAGGTGAAGAGCCTTCACCTGAAAGACGGATAAAAAATCAATTTAAATAAGATTTCTTGGAGATAAAACATTAGAGCAATAAATACAACTCTTTATCAGTATAAATGGATATATAGCGAAGTGTGGAACGTGCTCTCCTACTCGTCTACTCAGTCAAGGAACGGCCTTACCTACCAAACGCTGCCCTGTGGAAGCGTGGAGACCTGAGAGCGATGATAGGGACAGAGGCCACACGGCGTCCCTCCACTGAAGATCGAGCAGGGCCAGATAATACTGCCGGCAGTTCTCGCGTATGGCCCACATTTGCTCAGTGGGTCCTACCTTAGGGAAGTAACGTGAGCTCCTCGAAGAAGCAACTCCCCGGCCAATCACAGAAAAAGTCGATTTTGATTTGATTCTACTACAGGTTTATCTATACTTGTGCCGTCTGTTGGATTGTTCCAAAATAAATCAATTTATAAGGTGCTTTTAAATAAAAATGATTATTTTAAGTTAGACTAAAGAGCATTGATATTTGTAGCATCAAATTAGTATTGGCCTCGTTCGCTTGTCTTAAATTTGATTTGTTCAGCTTATTTTTTTAGCTGGAACAGTGTTTTTCTCTCACAACAATTCAGCCGGAACAGTGTTTTTCAGCCAGTTTCAGCAAAAGTTCAGACCAGCGAACGGGGCCATTATTAGATACACTATATAAAATATATTTTTATATTCTAAAATTTAGTCGAACTCGAGATATTTCGACTTAGGATTAATTATAGGAGTTGATTTATTTTATGACGTAGGAAATAGCTAATAGTTATCTAGCTTATATTAGCAAAAAACTGTTTGGATCCGCCACCTTTTAGCACATATTAGCGGCACAAAACTTGTTAATGAAACTAATGGGCAGCAATCCTCTAGCTAATAGCTAGTTATTTATTAAGAGATTTGTTTAGATCCATTAATATAGATTTTAGCCGGATAACTATTAGCACCAGCGTATCAAACATGGCTTTGAAAACTCAGCTACTATAATACTGTTTACGTGGCAGGGTTGAAATTAAGGCCTCGTTAAGTTCCTCCCTAAAAGTTTACACCATATCCTATTGAATGTTTAGACACATACATGGAGTATTAAATATAGACTAAAAATAACTAATTGTACAGATTGCGACTACTTTGCGAGACGAATCTTTTAAGCCTAATTAGTCCATGATTTGGTTTACTGACGAATTCTATAATTTATTTTTTATTAGTATCCAAACATTCCATATGATACCCTACGTGATATCGACACCTCAAAACTTTATACCTTGAAACTAAATAAGGCCTAAAGTACACCAACTCAAACACAACCAATTTGGAATCAAATCTGCATCATCGTCTATTGGAATCTTGTGCTTCCAAGGGGTCTAGGGACTTGGGTTTAGTGTAACGTAGATGTAGTACAAGGTGGTAGCCTAGGCGTGCAACAATGCAAGGATGGGTGTGATGACACGCTGGCATGAGGGGGTACATGTACCAGCACTGACAGAGCTCTCTCATTTTCTAGGGTTCGTTATAAATTGGGGTTAGGAATAGTATTTGACATTGTAGTATTTTTTGTTTGTATTTAGTAATTATTGTTTAATTATGATCTAACTAGGCTCAAAAGATTCGTCTCGTAATTTACAATTAAACTGTGTAATCAGGGTGTTCGGCTGGTACATTTTTACTGTAGCTCGGATGGTTTTGGACGATTGAATAGTATTTTGTGAGAGAGAATAAGCTGAAGCAAGCTGAAACAATCCAGAAACATCAGACAAACACCCTGAATTAGTTATTTTTTTATCTACATTTAATATTATATATATATATCAAAGATTTGATGTGATGAAAAGAGTGAAAAAACTTGCATTCTAAACAAGGCACAAGTGGACATGTACGAACTGTATGCGGGGTAGGCGACAGACGGCACTGCACTGCTCATCACCAGACAAAGAGAGGGGCCTGCCACGTCGTCGCCTGCTTCCATCGCCATGCCTGTCCTTTTTTTTTGGGGGGGGTGGGGGGGGGGGGGGCTGGTCTCCATTTCCAGAGTTTCAATTTTTTTTCTTTCTTTTGTGACTAATAAACTCTTGTAGTACATCGACCATTTAGTACAATATTAGGATTAGTACTGGGGACAAACTAAGCAGTTGTAACTTCTAAGTTGTTAGTCACAAAAAAAAACTTCTAGAGTCCTTCAAAATCAACTTCTATATATCGTAGCTAGTACTACTCACCGGTTCTAAAATAAATCAATTTCTTGAGTTGTTTAAAATCTAACAAATTTAAGTCTGATCCAATTTTTTTAAAAAAAACCCAATATTCATGAGACCAAATTAATTAGTATTATTAGATAGATGGCTAAATTTATTTTTATAATATATTTATTTGATGTTATAAATATTGCTAATTTTTCCTATAAAATTGGCCATTAGCCTGACTCCAGGTGATTTTAGGAGTTAATTTATTTTGGTACGGAGGTCGGAGTATCTTAGTCCTTCAATTATATCATCTCTGTTTCGTTTTCGGTCTAAAATTTAAAACGTGACATCATAAATGCAGGTTATGTATATATATTGCTACGAAGTTGGTGCGCTGTCCAATGCACCATGCTCTCAACCTGCCTAGTTCACGTGTACATAGACGCACAGTACTCTTTTCATTCCAAATTATAAATTGCTTTAATTTTTTTAATATATTTATTTTGTTATTCATCTATATATAATAATATATTTAGATACATAACAAAATGAATGAAAAAAATCAAAACGATTTATAATTTGGATCGAGGAGAGTACGTACCAACCATTCAGATATTTGTTTATGTAGTAGTAGGAGTATTCTTGTTTCTAGCAAGTGAAATACTACATATATAATACTCAATAATAGTGTACATGTCGGTGTAAAAATGACCAACAAGTAAATATTTATAGTTTTGTCGTACGTTGTGATCGGATGTGGCCTAGCACTCAATGACATAAGATTTATACTGGTTCAGGCAACATGCCCTACGTCTAGTTTCAGTCGGTCGATGACTTTATTCCTGAGTCCAGGTGCTCGAAGTTTACTGTGGGGTTACAAACAAATATGAATGAGAAAGGGGGTGTTAGAGGCCCGCTCGGACTCTGAACCGAGTGGCCGAGAGTGACGGAGGCTCTCCAACATATGCTAAGTATTGGAGTGTATGTTTTGTGTCTCTAAAGCTTGTTGAGCTGTTGTGTTCTCGAGTCGTCGAGAGAGTCTTCGAGAGAGAGACAACGTCCTTTTTCAGGAAAGAGCGCATCCTCTTTTATAGTTGAAAGAAATAGCCTTACAAGTCAGAGAGAAAGAGAGAAAGTGTATACGTGTGCTGCCTAGTCTTGTTGCTCACGCCATCAGGTACGGGATGACTGCCAGCGCCCACAATACTGTTTATGCCTAGACGCGTCTGACAGGCTCTACCGTGTTCGCCTGGTACGGCAAACGTCGGCGCCCACAATACTGTTTGTGGTCTAACGCGTCTGGAAGGTTGTATAGTGTCTGTCTGTCATGACCTAGAGGCACCGTCTTGTAAGTGCGCGGGGTATGGCAAGGTACGGTCCTCGGTATTGCGGTTGACTTGAGCGCCTTACCTTATCTACTCCGCCTGCTCCCCAGACCCACACCAAGTGGGCGTCTCCGGTCGGTCGTTCTTAGTCGTTCCTGACCGTGTCGGTTGGGAAAGAGCAGCGAGCAGAGGTCCGGCGTATCCTTTGTCGGAGAAAGGGGTCGGGCGAGATGGAGCCCGCGACCCAGAGGTCAGGCGAGGCGGCGCCCACCCTCAGAGGTCGGGCGAGGCAGAGCCCGTGACCTAGAGGTCGGACGAGGTGGAGC